TAGAACTGAAGTTTCATAATAGCAATGGCTATGTCTTCATTATATCCCAACTGCCTGACACAGCACCTGGCACATGAGTGTTCATGAGGATACACTAGATCAATATTGAACTTCAATGTTATGAAACAGTCTGTCTAAAAACAGGACAGATTTAAAGCAGCACAAGGACAAGTACATCACCAGTTCATTATCAATGTGGCTCTAAATCAAAGTAAAAAGTTCCTCTACCAATGGTTGTAACCAACAGATCACTTTAAGGAGACATTAATTCAGCTACTGCCGAAAGAAAGGAAGGAGTGTTAGAAGGTGTATTGTTGTGCTGTTATTTTAAAGAAGAAGTGAACAGGTGTAACACTGTATTTCAAGGCAGAGAGGTCAATTTTCTAAAACACTGGTTCACAACTTTTGGTCTACTACAACATACCCACTGCTGCTATTGCTTCTACTACTACCTCTGACTTAAAAAGAACAGGCTGAGGCACAAAATATTATTTAAAGAGTTTACTTGAGCCAAAATGAGAAAAGGGTGATCAGGACACCCATTGCCTCAGGAAATGTTTTGGCAGCCTATATTACAAGCAGGTTTTTAAAGGTAAAGGGGAACAAAGGGTGGGCTGATACAAAGTTGTCTGTATCACTGGTTTACCGGGATAACATTGATTAGCAATTGGCTATACATTGTTGAACTACAGATTATGGCACCTAGAGTATGGAATTTTATAACCATCTAGTGTCAGTCTAAAGACTAGTGTCAATCTAAAGGCCACATAGCAGGTGGCTCCAAGAGATAATAGCTCAAGGGGGAGTGACATGACTGCCCTTTCATTCTAAAGTCTCTTTTGGCCTGTCAGTTTAAAGGAACTCACATTCTTTAGATAAAGTTTCTTTTCTTCTTTTTTCTCCCCATCCTACTACTATTATCCCAACCAATGCCTGTAACTCCAGCACAGCCATCACCAGGTGACTCACCATGGCAGATATTTTCAAGTAGGTGAGAAGTAAAGAAAAATATAATTTGAAATGGCACCACCTCGAAGTATTCTGACAGTCGCCACCATTCCCTTCCCCTTAGATAGGACTCTTCTGAAAGGCACTTGTGGCAAGAAGCAGTCACATGGATGTCATCTATATATAATTTTAAAATGTAATTTATAATTCTAAAAAGCTCAATAGAACTACCATGTGATCCAGTGATCCCACAACTGGGTATACATACACATGTATCAAAAAAAAAAAATCAATATGTCAAGTAATATCTGTAGTTCCATGTTTATTGCAGCACTATTCGAAATACCCAAGAGATGGAACCAACCTAAGTGTCCACAAGTGATGAACGGATAAGGAAATGTGGTGTATATATGGAATACTAGTCAGTCGTAAAGGGGAATGAAATCCTGTCATTTACAGCAACAAGGATGAGCCTGGAGGACAATATGGTAAATGAAATAAGCCAGGCCCAGAAAGAGAAAGACTGCACGTTCTCACTCAGATATGAACGCCAAATAGGTTGATCTCGGAGAAGCAGAAAGTAGAATAGTGGTTTGCAGAAGTGGGAAAGGGGGAAGAGAGGAGTAGGGAGAGATCGGTTACAGATGAAAATTTCAGCTGGATAGATGAAAATTTCAGCAGGCTAAGTTCTGGTGTTCTACAGCACTGTAAGGCGATGACAGTTAACAGTTTGTTGTATATTTTCAAATAGCTAAAAGAGAAGATTCTGAATTGTTTCTAAGACAAAGAAATGATAAATATTAGTGACAGATATGCTAATTACTATGATATGATCATTACACATTGTATACATTGTATTGAAATATTACACCATACCTCATAAATATGTACAATTATTGCATCAATTAAAAATAACAAAAAAGGCCCCAATAGTGCTTTCAAATTTTTAAAAATGAAATATGTGATTTTTTTTGTTTTGAGCAGCAGCAAAACAGTTTTCCTAACTACTAGTTTAATATTAAACATGGTGTTACCTACACAGGGACTGAACAGAAAAAGGGGCAGGCAATGTCGAGGGATACCGAAGACCAATTTAAATTCACTATAAATTACCCACACTGGAGGTATCTATGCCTTGACTACAAAAAAAAAAAAACTTATTATGGTAACATCTCTCTAAAACCATGGCACTTTGCCACACATTTTTTCTATCCAACAGTAAGTGGCCTCAAATATATGCCTTAATATCCATATAATTAAAACAATAGAGCTAATGCAATTTTCTTACTAAGGAATAAAACGGGAGAGAAACTATAGAATTTTTTCCTAAAAAATCAAGATATCAGAAGATTGATAATGGTATATGGAACAACCCCTAAAATTCTTCAGATGGTACAGCAGCAGTTCTTTAAATAGCAGCGGTGACAATGCAACCTCCTTCCACAGCAATACACAACTGACTCCATGAAAACTTTAGAAGCTGCTAAATGTGTAAAGATTGACACCAAAGACTGACAAGTCAACTGTAACTGAAAAAACACACAAGGAAAAAAAAAATTAAGCTTTGTCTCTCCCTCCCCATCTTCTAAGATTTTTAAACCAAGGCTTTCAAGCATGTTGAAAAACACGCTCACGTTGTGACAGCATTTCTTGTTCTGAAAAATAGTGTAACCTCCTAAACCAGGATGTGGACTCCAACTAGGTAATAACAATTTCTGTGAACATACACAATTTATTACAACTCTGAACCATTCACCTAAAATATTTAAAGACAAAAACAATTGACTACCACCTCCCACTCAAAGAATGATCCTCTCCCCAAATTTAGCTTGTATCTCTGACATCAAAAAACATCAATGTCTAAAGTTTCCTTAGATCAGTTAAAAAATATATAAGGTATTGTTTAATTTGGAAAAAAGGTGTTTATCCCCAATAGATACTTGCAGTTGTAAAAGACACCAACGGTCTTAAGTCGTGAGACCGTTAGCCGGTTTTCTGCTGCTTATAACAGAATACCTGAAACTGGGTAGTTTATTTTACAAAGGAACTTATTTCTTAAAATTATGAAGTTGAAGAAGTCCAGAGTCAAGAAGCCATATCTGGTGAGAGCTGCCTTGTTAATGGAACTCTGTGCAAGGGGAGTAAATGTGCTAAGATACTTTGTTAGGTCTCTCTTTCTCTTCTTACAAAGCCACCAGTTCCACTCACATGATAATCCATTAATCCAAATGGATTAATCTACTCACCAACCACTTCTTAAAGGCCCCACACTGGGGATCCAATAATTTCAATAGAGCTACACTAGGATTTAAGTTTCTAACACATGAAATTTGGGGGGAGGGTACACATTCAAACCATAGCATGTGGCAAAAACTAATTTTGATCTTAATTGTTTAATGCTATTTCTAAAAACTATCAAATGCAATTTCCTCACCTAAAAAAAACTGTTACCTTTTAGAAATTATCATTAATCAAAAAATTTAGAGACATTTTCAGTTATATACAGTAAGAAGTTTTTACTTTGCTGTCAGCATTTTCATTCCAAACTTTTCAAAAAGGATGAAAGAAATTAAAAAGTCCTTTCTATGAACAGCCACAAAATCTTGGATATGTAAACCTATACTAATCAAAGATTAATTATACCACATTTTTATTCTAATTAATAGGAGAGAAAGCATGCTGACCACTAAAGAAAAGATGCACATCTGACATTCCTATTGGATCTGACATTCCTATTGGTTTGGATACAATGGCCAATTACAACTTGTAGCAATAATTATTTCTTTGGGGCTGGCACCTGTAGCTCAAGTAGCTAAGGCGTCAGCCACATACACCAGAGCTGGTGGGTCTGAATCCAGCTGGGGCCTGCTAAACAACAACGACAACAACTACAACCAAAACATAGCCAGGCGTTGTGGTAGGCGCCTGTAGTCCCAGCTACTCGGAGGCTGAGGCAAGAGAATCACTTAAGCACAAGAGTTGGAGTTTGCTGTGAGTTGTGATGCCACAGCTCTCTACCCAGGGTGACAGCGTGAGGCTCTGTCTCAAAAAACAAAAAACAAAAACAAACAAACGAAATAATAATTTCTTTGGAAACCCAGTGTTCAAACAGCTTCCCAAGTCACTGATTATCCACTTTTTATCTACTTTAAAATGAGAGATCCATTCCCTAAAATTGCCTACTTAGAAAGTGCTCTTTATGCAATAATGTTAATCTACCATGATATTTAAATATTGTAATAATGCCCTAATTTAATTTTCTGCACAATGTGGTAGAATTTTGTTTGGACTCACCACCACTCCACCCTCACCCATACCCAGAATTAAAGAGTAAGGCAAATGATATTTTACATGCTCTCAAAAATAAATTCAGACTCTGGGAAACACAGTGAAGTACAAACACACAAAACCTCAACGTCAGAAGTCACTTGAATAATTGCAGCCACTACAGGTAATTTAAGGACTGTAATTTAAGGACTAACTGTGGATGTAAACCAAGAAAGGCAGAGAGACGAGCTTATGTATCCCATCTAATTTTCCTAAGAGCTTTGATCAGATTCCTCTAAATAGTTCATGCCTGTCTCTGTGCAATAGAGACGCTGGCCCGAAATAGTCACAAAAATAATCAGGAGTGTTATCTATCTGAAAATACACAAATCTGGTTTATCAATGGGAAAGTAGATCTGCAAAACTCATATGTTAAAAGGTGGGCTACGGTATTTCCATGACAGAATCATTGTTAGGTTTGCTAATGTAACGCATACAAAGAAGGCTAGTGCAATTAGTTTGTTTCCTCCTCAGTGAGAAAGATACTAGGAAGGTGGATGACAGGACCCCGGAGACCCACACGTCGGTCTACACCCTCTTTTCTCTCGCAACCTCAACTCACTCCTTTCCTTCGCACACATACACACGCACCCTCCCATCACATTTAAAGCCCAGATGCCCCAGTGAGCAGTTTCTAGGGTAGTTTCACCGGTGCGTTAAATGGGATCTGACACCACCGGGCAGCCTGGGGTTGAATGCCACCCGCGTCAGCGCCCACGCCTCACCTCTAGCTTATGGTTGATCTGGGACACAGTCTGGGCTTTATGGCAAAGCTGTGCAAAGCAGGAGCTCAGACTGGTCATCTTCTGTCGTCCCTCATAAGTGATGTCCGCCTGGTCCGGATCGATCTCGCCTAGGAGCAGATCTACATCCACGAAGGCCTTGTCGAACTCCTTCTCCAGCACCTCCAGCCACCGGAACATGGACACCCCGCCGGGGGAGACCCCCACGGCACAGGAGGCGCCCCCTGGGCCCCCTCCGGCTCCTGCCGGGCATGGGCCGCCTGCCGACATGGCGCCGTCTAGGGCCTCCCCCGACTGCAGCTGACCCTCGCCGCCCACCTGGCGCGAGGGGAACTGCTGGAATTGCGGGGACCCCACCGCGCGCACGCACGCTTAGTCTGTCCCTCCTTTCCCCTCGCGCAGCTAACGCCGGCAGTACGGCTCCAGAGTGCAGCAGTAGCGAGGTACAGGCGGCAGATGCGGCGGTACACGGAAGGCTCGGGCCGTCCCACTTCCCGGCCCGCCCCCGTTGCGCATGCGTGGCTAAGAGCTGGACTGACGTAGCCAGGAGGGAAGAAGTGGGCGGGGTCAGGAAGCGACCTTGGCCTATGAGGGGCCTCTACTTGGAGCCGGCCTGTCAGCGGCCATATTGAGAACTGGCAAACAGCGTTCTTGGGTACCTGAGAAAGGGCGGCGCGTGCTCTCTGCTTCCAAGTTGGAAAGGCTGTAGGAAGAGAAAGATGTCCACGTCGCAGAAAGAAAGGGTTTCCACAAGTTTGACTTCACAGTAGGCGGAAGCTGTTCTAAAGTCTTCCTGGAAGGTTGCTGCGGTGGCGTTCTGGGGCAGGGAAGGGAAAGCGAGGAAGGGCGGTGTGAGCATGCGCAATAGCCACGTTGTACCTTTTCATTCCAGTTCCTGCTTAGGGTGGGATGGATAGGCACACTGGCTGTTCTTGGTAAACCAGACCATAAATTACAGGTAGAAACTGTCTAACGCCTCTCGTTGAAATGGTTGCGTTAATAGAGAAATTTTTGTCTTGTGATTAAGAGTTAGGTAGGCCTGGGTACATGTATTACACTTCTGTCACATACTTAGTTGTTCCACTTTAGGTTTAGTATTTCACCGGGACTCCTAGTTTCTAAAATTTACTTCACTCCATAATAAAATGCTTAGCATTGGTGCTTAGCACATGATATTCCAAAGGTAGTCATGTGTCACTTAAGAGGGAGAAAGGGAGATATGAACAAGGCAGTTTCATCAGAGTGTATTTACATAAACATAGTATGACCTAGTATACACCTAAGCTGTAAGTGCTCCTCGGCTACATACTTGTATAATGGTACAGTCCTGAATACTGTAGTAACTGTAACACAGTGGTTAAGTGTTTGTGTAACTAAACTAAACAGAGAAAAGGTACAGTAACCAGATGGTATTATAATCTTAAGAGACCACCATCATATGTGGTCATTGAGAAATAATTAAAAGGTACAATTATTATGAGCATTGAAAATGTCCTCTTGAGACATTTCAGAATAACAAAATTATAAGGCTTCATATATTTATAAATATATTGAATGCAGAGCCCTCTTGAGGCATTGAGGATGCAAAAATGAGACATGACCCTTACTCAAACTGAGATAGGCTAGTGAGGCTGTTAACCCTCACAACTACAACTTTATATTTGAATTTTAGGGTGCCTTCCAAAGTGTTCAGCAACTGCCGCTGTCTGGCATTTTGCCTACACACTCAACACCCTTGCAATTTAAGAGTAGCCAGTGCTAGAAAGAGAAACCAGTGAGAGTAGGATGGAAGTAACTGTAACTCCTGTATTGCCTAGAGAAATACTTTGGCTGAGTAAAAAGTCTTCTGTGGTATACTCTTGGGACAGACCCTTCACCGATGTAATACCAATGATAAGCAAGAAGTCACAACTTTGGTTTGCACTCGGGGTATTGCAGGGACAGATTGCTTAATATCAAACAATAAAGTCCTTTGGCTTCAGTAAGCTTTGCTAAGCAAAACTAACCATGAGCTCATTGTCTTGAGCTTAAATAAGGACCTTCATACTAGTTTTAGTACACAAATAATATGAAATGAAAATTTGCATCTTTCATCATTCCCTTCCAAAATTAACTTAATTTTCATCTGCAATACTTGCTAAAGTTGCCAAGCTCTCAGGCACTTTGTTTACACATTAACATACAATCCATTTTCAAGAACTGGAAGTAAATAAGATTAACGGGGTAGTACATACAGAAGCACTATAATAAAAGCTTTCAATTATTGAGTGCTTACTGTCTTAGGTATTTTGTTATTTGCTTTAGTTCTTTGATCCTCATAACTTTTTTTAGGTAGATACTGATTTTTTGTAGATGAATCGCAGAGAGCCTTAGTACCTTGCTAAGGTCAAATAACCAGAAAGCAACAGAGGTAGGATTTCAACCTGAATCTTTTTCTCCAAAGTCTTTGCTGTTAAACATGGACTATAGAGGAATGAGAGAATTTATTTCTTCTTGTATAAGTTACCAGGATGATAAATTGGCAAGTCAGTTCCAAAAGTTTTCTTTCTCTTCAATTCTTTCTAGTTATATGCCATATACAAATCTATTAACATATAGGAAACATTACCAAAAAGTAATTGTAATACTTGTTTTTTTTTACTTACAACTCTTTAGTTTATATGAACCATATCCAAATATAAATTCCATTTCTCTTTTAAAAATATTGTTCAACTTCCTCCTATGTCATGGGGGTACAGCTGAGCTGCTTTCTAAGTGTTTATGTGTCCAGCGTAGTGGTTGGTAAATACCCCCATTTTCAGGATTTCAGAACTCAGTTCCATTTCCTGTGGCAACCTTTACCATTCCAACTAGTCACATCCTCTTTGTCTCAGCATAGTTTCATATTATGTTGACTTTTCTCATTATAGGACTAGGTAGCAGCTGCTACATCCCTGTGTGCTTGCCAACTGCATGACTATCTGAAATGTTCTTGAAGTGCCCTCTGTGTAAACATAAGGTGCTGACCATCTTATTGCTGTTTTGCCATGCTGTAAGTCACAGAATACAGGAAGTGAAAAGGAGGGCTTGACATTCAAGTGCTGCCATCTGTTGTCCGTGTTCTCCATCTACACCTACTGCCTTTGCCTCTCAAAGCTTGTGGGATTGGTTTTTTCCACAGATAATTAAAGTCTTAATATTTCTGTTTGCAGTTGGATTGGCAGAAACTTCCAGCAACTGTTTCATGAATCATTCTTATGATATATATTTTTTAAAATCTAATATAATTTAAAATATCACAGTGAACTCCTTCACAGCAATAATTGTATATTGTTTATATCCCAGGTCCTAACACAGGATCTGGAATATGGTAGGAATGCTGTAACTAGTTGTGGAATAATCTCAATAATTAAGATGTTCTAGCATTTTACCCAGGAAACTCTTAACAGTTACTTTTCAGGACAGACCTTTGATGCATGTTACAGAGCATAGCGAAATAGATTTTTTAATTATCTAAGAGGTTAGGAACAGCTATAATATACATGTTAGTCTTTAAAACTCAAGAAATATTTTCCCAAACCTAAAGGGAAATGTTTTATTTTGTAGTCATATGGCTTATATGATTTAAAAATCCACTAAAAATGAGACTTCAAGAATTATTTTACCAATTCTGTAGGTAAAATTTACTGGACATTACAAACATGACCAAATTTTAAATTCCTCTTGTTATATTTGTATTCCCTTACACTCTCGGAGACTGACTATAATAGCTTTTATACTTTACCTGATGAACATCCTTCATTTACCCTTCCCACAGCTCCAGACTTTCTTCACTGTTATCTGTAATAAAACCATCATTCATCAACAGTGGTATCAGAGTTTACTAGTCATTTATTCTTCCTCTTTTGTCCACTGTCAAGTCACCGTTTCTAAAATTATCAGACTTTTTATATATCAAATGTAGATTCCATGTTATCCCCTCCATCATTTGTTTCTTATAGATTAGTTCTGATAAGGCCCCCCCAAAACAGTTGCATTACAACCACCCTTCAATATTATTTTTTCTTTGCATTTTGATTTAAAAATACAAGCTATCTCATTAGAAATTTTATTGCCTTTTAAATGAACAAATCAGAAAAATATAGTGAAACAATTACACAAAAACCCGTGTCACAAGGATTGTGAGAGAGTATTTGTTTTGTCCCGGTTGGTTGTAATTTACTCAAAATTTATTTGGCTTTTGTGGCCATGGTAAGCAAAGGGGTTGAGGATGAAAAGATTGTGAATATTTGTGACTACACATGTGGGACTGGCCACATTTAACATTCCTTTCTCTGAGGGACTCTGTACCTTATGTGACTTGGTGAGAGCGAGAGTCCTTCTTCCATAATGAACTGAAAATGTCAGATAATCACTTCCCCGGCTCTGTGACAGCTAGCGCGCAGGATGTGACCTGGACTCAGCTAACGAGAATCATTCACCTGACATTTTTAACATGAAGATAGTGAAGCAGGGTTCAAAAGGCTGGAAGTGGAGTCAGCAGCATCTGGTTTCAGTAGCGGCTGTGCCAGCAATGTATTCAATTTCTGGTTCATGGTATTGGCCAGGGCATCTGTGTTCTTTAGCGTCAGCAGCAATGTTTGTGTTTCTGGCTACACTTCCTTTATTCTTCCCTATTTCCAACTCTGGTTCTCCAGGCATTCTTACAATTCTGTGTGCTACCCAATTTTCTTTCAGTAATTATTTTTCTCCTTTAACTGGCCAGAATTTGTTTCTGTTGCTTGCAACCAGTAACTCAAACAGATACAGTTGTCATTTATTTACACTCTCCTTTTTCCCCATGAATTTGAAAAACTTTAGTTCATTTCATCTATTCCTTTCTTTTAGGTGGAAATTATTTCCCTCATTTTATCTTCATTCTATAGAAGACAAAAATGAGGCTTAGACAAGTTAAGCAGATTTTTTTTCTGTTTTACTTTAAACTTATGTACTTTATGCAATATACTCCAGAAAAAGCAAAAAAAAAAAAAAATTAAAAGAATCATGTACACCATTTTTTATTCTTTAGAATTTATTTTATCTGAGAGAGAGGTTTTCATTTTTTAAAATTCTTCTGTTTGGTTCTTGCCTGATCAGTTTTAAAATAGGAATCATGAACTGATGCTTATAGTCCCAGGGTCGGAAAAATTTACGTTAGTTTCCCTTCTGGAACTCAGTTTCCTATCTACGATGGGAAAGATGGTATAGATTAGATTATCAGTAAGGTTCTTTCCAGGGCTGACATACCATGAAAGCAATAAAAATCACTGGCATGCCAAAAGCAAAGTTAATCCTTTTAACCACAACAGTAGTGCTCCTTATTTCTACAGATTTCTTTATCCTGTTATAATATGCCTTCCTTGGTATTCACTCTCAAAATATTACATTAGGTAATTTCAGAGTTTAGGCCAACTATTTCTTGCTCTTTGCTTTTAATAAATCAAAGAAGGCCTCTATGTCCATTTCATAAAGGTACACATTTGTGTTTATTGCAGCATTTCCTAACAGTGGCACTCTCATCGTTTGGGACCCTGTCATTCTTTGTGATGGGGGCTATCTCTATTTTGCTCATTGTAAGGTGTTTAGCAGAATCCCTGGTCATTGCCCACTAGAGGCCAGTAACACTGCTCCCTTCCTCCACATTTCTCAGGACAATTGAAACTCCAGGAAGGGAATAAAGATAAAGAAGACAAAGAAATCATGGCAGGGAGAAGCCTGGCTGGAGAGTTTGAACAAAGAATCTAATTCAATCCGAATTCAAATACAAAGCCTATTCCTTGAGATTGCTATCTTTCTTGTGTTGAAAAACTACACCTTGATTCTGGGCTGCATTTGGGACAGATTTGCTGAGCGGGTCACTGAGTTTCCACACTTGAGAAGGGCACCCATGTTCCTTTACTTGCTTTTTCCTTACCTGAAGGAGCCAAGTAATGATGATCAGATAAAGTGTTATTAAATCCCTTGGAGAAAAGAACTGTATACGTCACTCTCGGCCTTAGGTATCCACAAACTTAAGAACGAAAACCCCAACATTCATACCCATGGCTTTTCATCAACATGAAGACCCCAAAAGTCAGCAGAGAGAAAGCAAGAAGAAGCTGAAGGATGGTGGCAGCTCTGGCGGCTGCTTCTTAGGACAATAAATATGCAAAGGGCCTGTCACCTCTAGAGCAGGTGCAACAAAATATGCATGTCCTTCAAGCACCCAGCCTGTAACTTTGTATTATACTTTCTTTCTCTGCAGTCTATGGTATCAAAAAGACTTTGCCTTCTACCAAAAAACATCGACTTTTTAGCCTAACCTAAATAAATACATGTGATCTGGGAAACAGACGGATGTTTTGTCCTTCAAAATATTCTCAAACTTCTAATGATCAAATTTATTAACATTTATAATGGTAAAAATCAGAAAATAACCCTAAAATCCAATAGTTAGAAAGTACTTAAACTATAGACAATATAGACGGATCAGAAATTTAAGTTGATATTTGTGGAGGCTATAAAACAATAAAGAAAAAATAATAGTGAACAGAACAGAATGTGAAGTTATAACCCATATATCTGCAACCTGAGAAAATCAAACTAGTCACAGGCCAAAATATTAGAAATTGTCAGAATTGCCGTGACGCTATTAGAAATACCACAGAGAAGAAAAAAAAATGCCATATGGTATAATTTTAAGATTCAGTCAAAGAAAAGAGACTCCTATGGTCACTAATAAAGGACAGGATATAGAATTCCTCACTGTGCTGCAAATTGGAAAAATTTGCTATTATCGATGGCAGATGAGAGGACAGGATTTTGCAGGCATTTCATTTCAAGTAACTGAATATAAATTTAACTTTAGAGCAGTCTGGGGGAGAAACAAGTGCTAAGTTCATATTTCTCTTTGTCTTTTCACAGCTGAGATGTAGAAAAGAAACTGGAAGTATGTTTGACTGGGGAATGGGACCAAAAATGACTTTTCTTCCCTTCTTGTTGTTTCAGAGTTATCTTTCATTGAGCATTATTTCATGTCTGGAAATTCTAAAACTTACCAAAAAATCTAGACAAAAGACAAAATATATTACTAGACAAATATATTACAAAGCCAAAGAAAGACATAAGAAATCTGTGGAAAGTCAGAATATTGACAGAAAAGAAATCTCTTTCTTGCTCTTTGTCTCATAATTAAGGAAAACTGAAGAAAAACAAAGAAGACTAGAAAAGTCTTTTGAGAAAAGCACACAGAAGTCTTTTACTCTGGACATCAAGTGAATTGATTATTAAATCAAAGATGTTTGTGGTTTCAAATGGCAATTGCAGCAAAAAGAAGGTTGACGACAAAACTAGAGAAACTTCTCACTAGTAAAAAGGGTTTCTTAGATCAGTATGATGAGTTCTTTCACTTGTGGGGGAAAAGCCTCTCTGTATAATCTTCTCCTTAAAATGCTTTCAAAGCCCTCAGCAGGGATGACCAGAGCAGGACAAAAAGCCACAACAGAGGTTCGGTGCGGGCCACATACACCAGAGCTGGTGGGTTCAAACCCAGCCCTGGCCTGCCAAACAACAATGACAACTACAACTCCCCCCCTCCAAAAAATTAGCCGGGTGTTGTGGCTGGTGCTTGTAGTCCCAGCTTCTTGGGAGGCTAAGGCAAGAGAATTGCTTAAGCCCAAGAATTAGAGGTTGTTGTGAGCTGTGACACCACGGCACTCTATGAGGGCAACATAGTAAGACTCTATCTCAAAAAAAAAAAAAAGGAAAAGAAAAAACACAACACAAAGGAGGCCTAGACAAGTGAAGCTGGTGAAGTTTCACAACTCACACATTTCCTCTGGGGAAACCAGAGGTTCTTTTTCTACCATTATTACAAACAGATGAAAATAATCAGCACATTTTGACGTTTTCTTCTCAACTGACTCAACGATATTTTTGAAAGACGAAGATAATTTCCAAACATGATGTTTGGGTGGATCAAATGGTAGTTGAATGGAACAAGTTAGCTGTGGCTCTAAGTATCTCTTCATTGTAGCCCACTGTTTCCTTTAGCAATAAAACATTACTGAAACAACCATAATAAATAGAAAACCTGCTTATTCTGCCTTCCACTTAATGTGAGAAGAAAACACCTGCGTGTTTCAGTCCTACAAAAATGGTTTTAATATAGGGTCACAGAAAATTCACAGGTTTTATGGCCCACTATAAAACAGCTCTTTGTCTTTTCCCACTAATTCCCTAGTGTCACATTTGGCAAAACAAGGAAACCACAGATAATACAGGTGTTTGCAGATTAGCCTTCCCGGCCATAAATAACATAGAGTTTTGCTCACCTACAAATATTAAGGCAGCTTATCAATGTTTAAGCCCTTTCTTCTTTGTAACGGGTTGCTAACATTTTAACCCAGGCAAATTGGGAATTTTTTCTGTCCTGTCTTCTTACATTGACAGAGTACACATTCAGAAGATTCTATTATCAGATTTCATGGTATAAAGAGTGAGACGGCACCCAAACACGCCTGCTACCTGAGCCCCTGTTTGGGAAGATGCGTCTGCTTTATGCTTTCCTCGTTTTGCTCCCTCTTAGCAATGGTCTCAGTCCTCATTGTCCCGGACGGTGCAGCTGTGATTCTGCGCAGTTGGTGCAGTGCTACAGACTGATGGAGGTGCCATCAGGCATTCCTTCCACCACCAAGAAGCTCTACATTAGCCACAGCAAAATTCAACACCTCCAGGTAATTATGTCATCCCGCACTCAAGTGGCTGCAATCTTATTATGGGAGACAGGGTGGGATTGTTAAACTTATTTTAAATCATCATACCTTAAAAGAGCTGGTTATTAAGTCAGAGTAATGGCACCACCTCTCCTCTTGCTCTGTACTGCTGAGATGGGCAGAAGCTTCTGGATGTTTATTTTTAGGGAAGCAGAAAAACAAAGTCAGAATCTATAGTTAAGGATATTTTTATTTTTACTAAAAAATTTTTAAAAAACTATGTTGTTGCCAAGTGGCAATGGCTGTTGCTTAACAAGTATATTGCCATGTTATGTCCCCAGAGTTAAAAATATTCCCCTTAGGGTAAAAAGTAGTTTTACTTATGCCATAGAGGGCAGAAGACACTTGGAGCACCAGAAGACTACCAAAATGAACCTAGCATAGCAGAATAACTCATACAAACTTTACCTGTCAGCCAGTGGAAACCTGTGCAGAGGACATACATGGGTTTTGTTTTGCCCAGTTAACTGCAGTTCTCCTTCTACAAGCTCTTAAATATTACTTTTATTTTTATGCCACCTATGCAGAGGGGACTGAAGTGAGTGCTATAGAGTTGTCTGACTTTCATAACTTGAAGGAACATTCAAGTCATATCATCCTTGGTATATTCGATACCTTTATATTGAAACACATCAAGGGACTAACATTCTCATTCTAATTTTCTCACTAACTTGACATCCATGTTAGGCAAGTTGTTAAAAAGTCTAGAAGCTTCCCTTTTTGCTTTCATGAAATGACAAAGAAAGCTGGATTAGTAGACAATTCCAGGCACTTTCTTGATGGAAAATTACGTGGCTCTCTCATTTTCCCTTTACTAGTCACTGCTTCTGTCTTATAGATTCAAATTCCAAGATAAGAACACGTGAGCTTCTGAAAGGCAGCAGGTGAATCCATCTTTCCTTCAAATAGAGACACTCTGTCCCTTCGTTTGGTTAAGAAATGTCCATTTCAGTGTGACATAAACACAGAGTTTAAAATGTGTGGTATGGTATTTATATGCAGGCTCACTAAGCACAGTTGTCTTGTCTCTGTCTGTTTACTTTCTTCTTGTAACCCTGCAGTGCATAATGCCAGATAGCGAGTCTGACCCTGTTAGGTCTGAGCGTTCAAGCAAGACACTTGGTTAAAGGGCAAGATGCTTCAATATTTGCTTTGAGGACTTGAGATGCCTAGTGAGCTAGAGTGTCAACTAATCCCAGTAACAATCTCACACTGCTACTTTGTAGTCAATTAGATGAAACTATACCTCTTATCAAATTAAGTTATTAAATGAGTTAATTTGTCATTGGTTTAGGTGCAAGGCACAGCGATATTGCTGTTTCCTTGACTTTAACCTAGTTAATTGTCTCTTGAAAGGACAGTTCCTCACAGAAAGGTGATGAAAGACAGGAATTGTTTTGCCAAGGAGCTACAAAGTTTTGGCCAATAACGTTTTTCTTTTAAAAACACTTTGGTTTTAAACAACCATACTGCATTTATATTTGGTGAATACAATGTATATTCTGCTTATTTGGTTTAAATCCATAGAATCAAGTGCCTGTATTTAAAGAAAAAATTATGTTAAAATGGATCCTTAGATTAATAATAATAAAAATTATATATAAGAATATAAATATATATTAATGAACATAATATATGCCACAATTTAAAATGTTTATAATACTTGTTCATATATTGTGTTTGAGACTGTGAATGCTGTGTTTGAGGCTAAGAATAAAAGATGAAAAATTCACAGTTCCTACCCTCCAGAAAAGAGGGTCTTTTTCTATTTATCTGTAAAAAGTGCCATTCTTTGAGGTTTGTGCCAGTGGGCTGTAAGACTTTTTGCTCTTATGTCTCATCCTGTGCCTCTTGTCACTACTGGTTTATCGTCTTCCCCTCAATCCTAAGTCCTGCAACTTGGTCGGGGATTTTAGTGTCCAAATGGATGGCTGGTCATATCATAGTCTCATACTTCCTTGAGCTCATAAAAAAACAAAACAAACAAAAAAACACTTTTATTTCCACTTTATCTCAATTATCTTTATCATATCTCTTAGTTATGTAAGAATCATGTATCATAATCCTTATTGTCACCTGGAACTTCTTCAGTTAGAAAATCTGGAGTACCGGTCATCATCTCCTTTCCTTTCGGCTACCACCCTTCATACTTATCTTTCCACCTCATGAAGACTTCAAACCCTAGATTGACTCATGTTCTTCCAGGGGATCAGTGTATATATTATCAACCTTCTTTCCCTACCCTTTCTCCCTCTGCGTCTCACAATTAACTGTCTCCACACCTGTCCAGCAAAGCCTCAGTATTAAATTAGGGGGATAACTTTCCTTTGTTTCTCCCGTACCTGGACAGCTGGGCACTGGTGGACAGGATCACAGAACCAGATGATTTGGAACCACCCCTCAAAGTCTCCAACCTCATCCAAGTCTGCAGTGTTACCAATCTATTCTGTCGCATCTTCTTGGTCACGTTCTCCCTACGCTCCCTCAACATCATCCAAAACTCAAACATTGTTTTACAAACTCCCAGCTGGCTTGGTTCACACAGGCCTGAAACTGTCACATTGCACATTTGTCAGTGTCTTGTGCATTCGACTTATAAGGCGCCTGAGAAGGGGATACGGCTCGCTCTCTGCTACTTGGCCTGCCCAGGACTGAAACTAGAAACAAACCAGAAAGCTTCACATGGGGAAGGTGCTACTCAATGCCCAACTTCCCCTTCCCCTGCCTTGCTTTTTCAGCAACGCTGGAAGAAGCTGCCAGAAGCCCCAAGGTATCTCTAGGGCAAAAGCACCTCTTTCCACACCTTTTAAGCACACCAGCTTAGGACAGGGGAATGGAGAAACATCTGGCAGAATTGTTTTTCCCCTTTGTCAGCTCTGTAAACCCAAGCTGAAAACCAGCAGTTTTCCTCACTCTGTTTTCCCTAGCTAAATAGATGTGATCGCAGTAAGGTTAAAAATACAGGGTATCCATAAAATGCTTTGACTATTTTAAGTTGCACACGAACTTTATGGACACCCTGAGGTAAGATGAAGGTGGGATAGGCCTGCCTTTTCTCCTTGCTAGGAGGATGTACTTGGACAGTAATTCACCTTTTTGAGCCTTAGTTACCCTTTTTGAAAAGGTACTAATCATGCTTGTGCATAGGGCTTTGCACAGATTAATCATAGTCAATACAGAGGAAATGGTAGCCATTTTAATTAATAGTAATCAAATGGAGAAAAAAGAAAATGCTTTCAATTCTTAATAAAGGAAAACAGCTATCCACTGGATTCAGTTAAGAGTATGACGTCTATCTATGATTTACCTCAGTCTGTATACTTTATAAATAGAATTCAAGACAAATTGAGGCTGGGTGTCATGGCTCATACCTGTAATCCTAGCACTTTGGGAGGTCAAGGCAGGAGGATCACTTGAGCCCAGGAGCTGGAGGTTGCAGTGAGCCATTATGATACCACTGTACTCTAGCCTGGGCCATGGAGAGAGACCCTGTCTCAAAAACAAAAACAAACAAAAAACCCTACAAACAAACAGAAAGACAAATACATAGGTGCATGTTATACATGGGAGCATATTATACATAGCAAAATACAGTACCTGTAATAAATATGTGATGCAAAATCAACTGACTTTGAAGGCATTAGTCATGCACTGGTATTATATAAAAGGGCGCAACTGCATAATTAAGTCAAATATTTAGAAACTGAAGGTGGTAAGATATGTAAAATTATACACTAATAATTACAGCTTAATTGAATTCTAAAGCAGGTTGAATATTTTGTGAAGATTTATTGACCTGAAAAAAACATGGAACAATTCCTCTTTTCTGCCTTAACATAACTTTACTCATAGAACCACATATAGATGATTACATTGTTGAGAAAGAGTGGTGGGTATCCGTGGGAAGGTTGGCAGACACGTGAAGAGGTAGGAGAATTTGCAAAACATGAAGAAAGTATGTCAGCTCAGAATTTAGAATTGCCTTAATTCTAGGAGAAGAGTAGCATCCGGTCTGGGTTATATGTATGAACGAACTCTTTGCTCCACAGAGATAGAGGGAGACACATGTATACTTTTTTTATATAAATTTTCTTTATTGGTGAAGTGCAAACTGGGGATGGGGAACAGGTAGGTTCATTTCCAAAACATAAGATAGTTGAAAATATTTCTCAGATATGTGCATCCTAGTGATAGCAGACTCTAGGGCATTTAAATTTTTTTATTTTATTTTGTTTCTACAAATGTCTGGCTTAATAAGGACTTGCTTATTTCGAGGAAAAAAAAAAAACATCAGGCTGTTCACAAAAATGACCCACAGTATCAACTTTAGAAAACAAATCTTAAGACTAGGATACTAATTATTTTTCTGCCAATTCTTATTCACAAAAATACATCGTTACATTTGTGTTGAACTGTGTCATCTTAGCTCTCTCAGATGGCATACAACACACATAATTCCAACTCAAAGCTGCTCTGGGTGCTACTTTCACTAAATGAGATTGTCTTTGCAGCTAGGGAAGCAACTACTGAACTCATGTATGAACGGAAAGAACTGTACTCCCCGAATAACAAGAGATTATTTTGGAGACAGTTGATAAAAACTATACATCCTTTTTATTATAAAGTCAAAAAGAAGTTAGAATTAAAAGCAAAACATTCCAGGGTAAGACTTAACAAAAGTACTAGGAGCGTCAAAGGAAGTGAAAATTGGACTGGGTGCAGATGACTCTTAAGCACATAGGAGAGATTAGAAATCTTATCTCATTATTTCTTTACCTAGGCACTTGTTTAGAACAAAATTTTTACCAATCCTCTCCCCATCCTTGTCCCTCCCATGTGCAAAAATTTTTTACTTTTAATGCTTTTTGAAAAGTGCAAACATTTTTTAAAAGTTAATTCATAGCTTTAAAAACCTAGACAAGGCAAAATGTAGCTAGGTAGGGAAAATCCCTTGTAATCTTGCCCCCTAGAGTTAGAACTGAAAGATTACCAGAGCGTTTCAATTTTTGGTTATTATTATATGATGATACAACAAAGAACATCCTAGTGAGTGAATTGTTGTACAATTTGTAAGCACTTTGCCTAGAAGTGAATTTTCTGGGTCAGAGAACATGCAGTAAAAATTGGTGATTATTATACATTATCAATAGTGTGTGAAAGTAGGCCGGGTGCCGTGCCTCATGCCTGTAATCCCAGCACTCTGGAAGGCCAAGGAGGGAGGTTTGCTTGAGCTCAGAAGTTTAAGAGCAGCCTGAGTAAGCCAAGACCCTGCCCGTCTCCAGTAAAATAGAAAAATTAGCCAAGCATCAAGGCGAGCACCTGTAGTCCCAGCTACTTAGGTAGCTGAGGCATGAATTGCTTGAGCCCAAAAGTCAGGTTGCTATGAGCTATGATGACACCACTGCACTCAACCCCAGAGAGACAGAGTAAAACTCTGTCTCAAAAAAAAAAAAAAAAAATATATATATATATAGTATAAAAGTGCTTAGAATATATTTGGTATTTTATACTGGTGTCAGCAATCATAAATAAAAGTAGTCAGGACTTGAGTTTCAATCTTTTTCAAGAGATAATTTTTTTTAATTTTTATTTATTTATTTATTTGCAGTTTGGGGCAGGGGCTGGATTTGAACCCGCCACCTCCAGCTTATGGGGCTGGCGCCCTACCCTTTTCAGCCACAGGCGCCGCCCCTCAAGAGATAATTTTAAATAGAACCTGAGGGGAAATCTGAAGTATCATTAGTATTGTAACGATAATGTATGTGGTATATTTTCCACAGCAATCTTAACTTATTGCTTTTCTTCCTCTCACCTGCCCCAACCTTTCTTGTAGCTCTCTCACTTCATCAGAGTATTGGCTCTAGAAGATTTTATTCTGCTGGCCAGTGGAACTGAGTCTGTAGAAAGCGACACCTTCAAAGCTATGAGTACCTTGAAGACCTTGGAACTCTGGAAAAATAAGTTAAGACGAGTCCCCGGTGCTCTCCCAGCCAGTCTTGAAGTGTTAAATCTAAATGATAATTCAATAAACGTCCTACATGGATCAGATTTTGAAGGACTGAAGAAACTAAAAATCCTTGAACTTAAAAACAACCTGATCTCTTCGCTCTCTCCCAGCACGCTCTCCCCCCTGGTCAGTTTGCAAAGTTTAATGCTGGATAGCAACAACGTGGAGTCTGTAGCTGGGCCCCTGACGCTTCCCCATCTGAAACACATGAGCATGGAGAACAATAAGCTGTATCTCATACCAGATAACTTCTTTAATTCTCTACAGTCTTTGCAATTTCTCAGTTTCAGTGGTAATTTTCTCACTAAAATGCCTACTAATCTACCCAAATCCTTGCTATCTTTAAAGATGGAGAGAAACCAGCTTAAGGTGGTAAGTTTTCGAGATACAAAACACTTGGAGAATCTTTCTCACCTTTACCTGTCAGAAAACTTACTCTCTTCCATTGATGGGGCACAGCTCCTTGCCAATTTAACCACACTGGAGTTATCCCAAAACCGGCTTCAAACGTTGCCCCTGAGACTACCAGCCAGGTTACAAAAACTTGACTGTAGCAATAATCTGATTCAGAGAGTTACAGCACAAGACTTCCAAGACCTCAGAGATTTGAAGCATTTGTTCCTGGACAACAACATTGTCAGCTGGTTCGAAGCTGGAGCCCTTCAGAGGTGTTCTCAGCTCTCCAACCTGGCCCTGGAGCAGAATCTGCTGTTGTCCATACCGCTAAGGTAAGTGCGTATGTTGTTATAGCTACCATAAAAATTGTCCCAAGATTGAGACGATGCAGAAATTACACACGATGCGGAAATTACACAAGCAAGAAAATTAGAGCAAACATAAATGATATGACCAGGTATATAAAGAGTATAGGGATAAAAGTTTTACACAAGTCTTTTGGAATCCACAGCCCTCAAACGGAGCTCTGTACTAACTCAATTTATCTTGCCTGTGGGACGAGACACCAGTAGGTAATGTCTATATTAGCAAACATAGTATGAAGACACTGTAAAAAGTACATCTTGGTTTCTAAATATGCATATGGCCTAGGTACCCAATAGGCAAACTTGGCATGAGCTTAGCCACTAGCAAGCCAAGGACACCAGGCAAAATGAAGGGGAAAATACAGTAAGATATTTGTATTTTAAAAACATTGAAGTTGAAATTATGGAGAAAAAATTAAAGCTTTATAATGTAATATTTTATTTATTTTGGATTACTTATTGAGGAGCCTCAGATTCTTCTCAGTGCTGTGAGTTTCAAAGGGCTTAAGAGACGGCTCTGTTTACTTGTCTGTATGAGATGGTGAGTCTATCTTTGGTCTTACCTTCTGTTTTTAACTATCCCTCCAGTTCTCTTTCTCTCTCTCTCACTCTCTCTCTCTCTCACACACACACACATACACACATTCTGACAATTACTCTTTTCAAATATCCTTGTCTCTATGCCCAGCCCACTGTACCTGTTTCCCTTAACTACTCATAATCTGTAATTTAATGTACATTTGCATTAATTGATCTAATTTATTTAAATTTTGTTTCTTATCTACATTTTAAAGTACTAAATGATAGATGAAACTGTTATTCTCTTTAAAGAGAGAGCATATTATTTATTATACATGTCTGCAAATGGAGTCTTTTTCCTTTTAGCACTTCATTGAAAAGAATGGCTTCTTGCCCTATTAGAATTACCAAATTTCTCATAATTAATATATCAACTTCTGGCTTCTGGAAAATCCTATCATACTCTATTTGCCTAAGTTCATTGTTTGTTACAATAATTTTTTATCAATGGGAAATGGAAGAATTATCTTTGATATGTACAGATGTTCTTTATTTTCTAGTTGAAAGGGATTTTTTTTATTACATAGTATGGTAACTGTACACAGTTACCAAAATCAAAGAGTGATTTTCCTGACATAAATCAGTATTTTAAATGTACACACTGAAGATGATTTGAAAGTAATTTTTAATATATAAGCAGGTATAATTAATTTAATTAAAAAACATGTTTTCAGAACTTAGACTTGCCACATGCCAGGTACTTTACCAGGCACTTGGGATATGTAAATGTAATAAAAGAGATTAAACTTCCTGTACTTTGCAGCTTTAATTCTAGCAGGGGAAGAGTGATGATAAATGTCATACACAAGAAAAATACATAATCTTTAGACTGTGTTAGGTGTTATAGTTAACAAAAAGAGGCATGATTACCAGGTTCAAGGGCATAGAGGGTTGAATGGCTAGCTGCAGTTTTACATACAGTAAACATGGTACCCATGAAAAGGTAAGCTTTGAGCAAGGCTTAAAGGAGGTGAAGGATTAGCTATGAAGATATTTTTAGGAAGAAATTTTCTAGACAGAAGAACAGACCATACAAAGGCCTCTAGGCAAGAAGAACATGAACATGCCTGAAGTGTTTCAAGACTCTAGTACTTGTTACTTAAATAACTTCTCTACTGTGTTTCAAGCCTCATAATCTATTACTGAACACCCCTTAAAAAAAAAGCGGTGAAAAAAAAAGCAGTGTATAAAATAAAAACTTACAAAACAAGTGAGTGAGTGACTATATCATATAAGGACATGACATAGGTTATGACAGCCACGGACAAAATTGTGCATTCAGTGGACTTTTCTACTAATGTGACTTTTATAAAGCATTTGTTGAAATAATCTTGCTAGGTTTGATGAGTGAAAAGTCGATTATTTGCTCCTGCCTGGGTATAGGTGAGTACAGAAAGCACAATGCTTTTACCCCATGGTATGTATAATGGAATTGCAAGCATGAGCCAACTAGCTATAGGTATCAAAGCTAGCTTCACATTACAATTATCTGCAGAAATATAATAAAACATACTCATGCCAAGGCCTCATTTCAAACCAATTACATTGCATACTCTAGAGTTGGGGCCCAGGTATCAGTATTTTTGAGAGGCTTCTCAGTTGAGTTTAATGTGAGAATACTGGGCCACAGACAAGGCAAATAATGTGGGGTGGGAATGGGCTTTTCCTATGAGGCTTAAATTATGCAACACATCATCTGCTCTGTCAAAATACTTGGCCAGTTCTGACAGCAAAGCTCTTGTCATTTTTAAGTTTTTTGTTTTTTTGTATTCGAAAGAGGAAATGACCCAGAAAAGTTTCTCTGTGGTTTTCCTCTGATAAAGAATTAAAACCTACCTGCCTATTCTTTACATTTGGATTGTTAAACTTTTTATTATGAGCTTTAAACTGTGCACCTTTTTTACTTGCATGTTTCTTATTCACATATAGTATCTACACTATAAAATTTAGTTTTCTATAAATACACTGTAAACACAGGCAACATGCTCCTGTCACAAATGGAATCTCCACAAATCCTTTTATTTACCATCTCTTGTACATCTCTTGTATACTTCATCAAGAGAATAATGTATATGGTTTTAGGTACACATATATCCAATAACTATTACATCTGCCTCATTACACTAATGAGTTAGAAAATAATTCCTAACATTTATTAAGTGCTTACTAAGACCAACAATGAACTTGGATATATTCATGATTCCTTATTACTCCACACAACAATCCAGTGAAGGTGGGTACTTTGTTTTACCTACCTTGTTTTACAGACTCGGACATGAAGGCTTGGAGGTATTCAGAAACTTGGTCAAAGTCATATCATCATTAAATGGTGGAGTTAGGATATAAGCGCAGTAGTCCAAGTTCAGAGCCAGGGAATGTTAGCCTCTGCAAGATCCTGCCTTTGCGATTTATTCTATAGGGTGCCATAGATAGGAAACATTAACAAACTCATACAGTATATTACATTAATATTTTTAATATTTATACATTAACACATAGAGAAATATTTTGTAAAATTTTGCAATGAATATTTTGTAAATAAAGGTATAGTTAACTACAATTTCCCATTTTCTTATGAAGTTGGACAGTTTGTGAACTCATCCTGGATAAAGTGTTACACAGCTCAGTGCTGAATATCACTATGGTCACCTTCAAATAGTCCCCTTGGCTATCTGGTGACCAGAAGATATGCAGCCATCAAGTATGTAGGACCTCTTCTAGGATGAGTTCACAGATTTAATCGTCAGAACTCACATGATGAGAACTCTGATGTCCATTCCAGAAAAAGAGTTCCAAGATTGCTTTGAAGAGTAGACTAGGCCCTGGCATTAGCACATAGTTTCCCAAGGGAGTGCCCTGAAAGTGATCATAGTGATGTTCAGCAATGATGTATAGAGCACTTTTTCTACAATGAATTTGCAAACTTAATTTTTTGAACTTGTATATGTGGTGACCTTTGGAACATCCCGTATTATCAATCGAACACTATCCTGCTGAGAAGAGTGGTTCTCAACCTTCCTAATGCCGCGATAATGCCCCTTGTTACAAAGGAGTCGCCACCCACAGGTTGAGAACCGCAGGCTTAGAACTTAGAAGGCTTAAAAGCTGGGCCTCCCTTGTTCCTGCTTTATAGTTCACCAGTCTGCAGTTTAGTGAACAAATACAAGTTAGATCATCTCTTCTTTATCTACTCTGGATAATTCAAATCCAGAATAGCTTTCTACAGCCTAATGCAGTTAGCATTTCATCTGATGTGCAAGGGCCATCTACTGGCAAAATGAGCTATACTATACCCCTTTTTACTTTAAACGGTGATAGCCATTCAAAGAACATGGTAGCATTTCCTGAAACATATTTGGGTTAAAATCAGGGCTACCTTTTTATATAAATCAGACACATAAAGACAAGTCATATCAGGAACTAACAAAACTAGGATAATTAGTGATTTCTCTTACAATGTCATTAGGTTTTAACTTCCATAGAAAAAAGAAAGGAAAAAACCAAACGTTATACCTGAGAACAGGCACAATTTTTAGATCCTCAGCCTAGAACTGAATAGCTGTACTTGTCTAGAAGAAAAAGATTTTTTGTTCATTTTCATTATCTAACATCTGTTATGTGACTTCTGTGTACTAAACACTTTCAACCACAGGGTGGAAAATTGGAAGATTTAAGAAGTGAAAGAAATTACCTAAGGTCACATACTGGTAAATAGAACAGCCCAAGAAGGCAAGATTTGCTGACTTTTCAGTTTACGCCATGAAACCTCTCCCCAGTTAGGCTCTGTTGTCCTCTGCCATGGGAAGTGAGTCTTGCTTGCTGCTACACAATCTATTAATAGCCTACCTTTCCTTGCCGGGTGAAGAAGGGGACTATACGTAAGAGATTTTCTGTATACTGTTTAGAAATTCACCTTAGATAAGCTGGTATATGCACAAAATAAGCTGTTAGAATGTATAAAGTGATTTTTCCTGATAAAATTATCTACTTTGTTAGGTAAATTTTACTCTATCTAAGAAGACACTTTAAATGCTTAGTGCTTTAAAATACTCAAAAAGTACAAGTACTCAGGTATTGTTGCCAATATTTTGCTCTTACAAGTATAATAGCACCATTAGAAAAGCCACATATATTGTTCGTATCGGGAGAGTCATACCTGCAGGGTTATGTCTAAAAGTGGGATCGCTGGGCTAAAGGTACCTATATCATTAGTTTGTTAGGCTTTGCTAAATTCTCCTCGACAGGGGCAGTGCCAGTTTACCCCACCAGTAATGTATGAGAACTTCTATTTTTCACAGCTTTGCCCACAGAATGAATTGCCAAGGCTTAGGATTTTTACCGATCTGATATGGGAGAAACAGCATCCCTATGTAATTTTAATTTTTATTTCTGTATTCTGAGATTAAAAGCTTAAAGGTTCTTTTCATGCTTTTTGACCACTTTCTGTTTTATTTTCAAATCTTTTCTTCTTAATTTTTAAGGGCTCTTTATATCTTAGAAAGGCTAGCTCTTTGTGATAGAAGAGTCAGATAGTGTATATTCCCACAGTTTATTATTTGTCTTTTGACTTCGCATATGTTTTTTGCCAAACTCAGTTTCGTCTTTTATTCTTTTTTAACATAGTTGATATATTGCTCTTCCACAGCGACTGGACTTTTGAGTCGTAGTTAAAAAAACTTTTTCAGGCCAGGCACAGTGGCTCAGGCCTGTAATCCTTGCACTCTGGGAGGCCAAGGCAGGTGGATTGCCTAAGCTCACTGGTTTGAGACCAGTCTGAACAAGAGCAAGACCTGGTCTCTAAAAACAGCCAGGGGTTATGGCGGGCACCTACAGTCCCAACTACTCAGGAGGCTGAGGCAAGAATCGCTTGAGTCCAAGAGTTGGAGGCTGCTGCGAGCTATGATACCACCGCACACTACCAGGGGCAACAAAGTGAGACTGCGTTGAGAAAAAAAAAACCTACAACTTTTTCATGGAAGTAGTATTTTAAAAACTATTCAAAAACCTGATTTTTATAATCACATAAAATAGTCCACTTTCTATTATTTAGGTCAAAAAGCACGATATTATTAAAATTTTATGCAACTTATCAAAATCTTTCCAAAACGGTACCAATATACATTCCCACCAACAGCAGTTACTCCCCTCAGCAGCAGTAAGTTCTAAAATTTAAAACCAAACATGTAATCCCAGCACTCTGGGTGGATTGCCTGAGCTCACAAGTTCAAGACCAGCCTGACCTACAGTGAGACCCTGCCTCTAAAAATAACTGGGTGTTGTGGTAGCCACCTGTAATCCCAGCTACTTGGGATGCTTAAGCCCAGAAATCTGAGGTTGCTGTGAGCTGTGACACCACAGCTCTCTACCAAAGGTGACAAAGTGAAGACTGTCTCAAATAAATAAATAAAACCAAACATGTTTTAATTCGATACATTAAACCATTCCATTATTTTTTCATTTGCTTTTATATTCCTGAAGAATACTTTTTCATATTTTCATCTCCATCCATGATTTTTCTTTTTCTTTATTATTAAAGAGCAGGATCTTGCTCTATTTGTCCAGGCTGGAGAACAGGGGCATGATCATAGCTCACTACAGCCTTGAACTCCTGGGCTCAAGTGATCTTCTTCCCTCAGCTTCCTAAATAGCTGGGACAACAAGCATGTGCGACTATGACCAGCTAATGTTTTATCAGTTTTTGTCTTGCTATATTGCCTACACTGAGCTTAAACTCCTGGCCCCAAATGATCCTCCCGCTTTGACCTTCCAAAGTGCTGGGATTATAGGCATGAGCCACTGTGCCCAGCATAGTGTTTTTCTTATCAGTTTGAGTAACTAATAACATTTCACAAGAAAAAAAATTAAAGAGCTTTATGAATAGGAACCAGAAAAATCAGAAGGTAGAAAATAAGGCTTATGAGAAAGAGTTAAATACCTATAGACTAAGACTGAGATTTGTGCTTCTAATTAATTTTCTCAAATTAACCTTGTTTCTTAGCCTGCGAAGGGACAGAACTGTACAGAAAAGTACAGAAATTGTGCTGCTCAGCTTCTGTTGCCCTGGCAGTTGAAAAACAATGGGCCTGACCTTTGTTTTATCCTATTCTCATGTTTTGCAGGCTCCCAGGGACCTTAGCCAGACTGGATCTGAAAGGCAATGCGATCGCAGATATTGCTGAGAGAGAACTCAGGGATCTCAAGCAGCTTCAGGTCCTAAACCTTAGGAACAACAAGATCTCTGCCTTAGACCTCAAAGCCTTGGAGGGTCTGCCTCGCCTCAGGCACCTCTACCTGGATGGAAATCCATGGAATTGTACCTGCAGTCTCCTAAGAGCAAGGGAGGTCTTGAAGGCCAAGGGCACAGACGTGAGGGGAGGACAGTGTGCAGCCCCAGCTGAACAGCAAGGGGAGAGCTGGATGTCTTCCAAGAAGATCATGAGGCAATGTGAGCATCACCTACGCCTGACTGAGAAAAGCAAGGAGACCAAAAAGAAATCAAAACCGGAAGACCCCTCCAGTGTCAGGATCAGCCTGGATGACGATTATGATGATTATGAAATAGATTAACTATGAGCTTTGTTTATAGTTTAGAAAATGGTTTTATGTTTAGTCTCTTAACAGACATTTAGATAAGCAAAACTCTCTCTGTAAGTGGTTTCTGATTTTTGTTTTTTGTTTTAAAAATGAAATGAGGATTTAGAGAAGTGAAGATGGGGGAGGATAACAGAAAAGGACACGAGTAAGAAGATGTAGGATTCCTTCCATTTTAAAGGTTATTTGTTTGTGCTTTATACCGAAACCTAAGCAATGCCAAATAAAAATCACTCTATGACTAACTTCATGCAAATACTGTAGTTCATTTTAACAAAAAAGAAGTGATGAATTATGTATATGAAGCTGGCAGCATAGGCCCACACTATGGGCTCTGGGCTACAAACAGTAAAAACAGACTCTGACTGGCTTAAGCATGAAAGAACTTACTGTAAGGAATTAGACTCATTCACAGGATCTAAGGAAAAGATGAACCTAGAAAACACAGGGATCAGAAAAGCTCCAGGGCCCCAGGCAGAAGGACATAATGGAGAGACCCTCAGCTTCATCAGACCCTCTTCACAGAATGGAAACACCTCACTCTATTTTCAGCGTCAAGATTCATGTACTTGGAGGGAGAGGCCAACTGGCTTAGTTTAAGTCACGTGTTTAATGGGTGACTGAGCAAACAGCAGGTCTTATTTGACAGTCTTACTCAGATTAAAGGGAAACAAGAAAGGGCAATGTAAATAAGCATCCTTAATAGTAGAGATGTCCCTAAAAGATCTTACTGAAGAGTTGGGCTTTGACTGTACTCAGGTCTCCCTGAGCTGCCCACAATCCCCACAGGGCCTTCTTTTTGATTAACTGTATCTAGGCTCTTGAGAGTTGCCTGTTAGAGGCTAGCAGTGTGATTGTGGAATAACTTTTTTCTATCATTCCACTTGTGGATATAATGTAACGTACTCGCAAATAAATCAGAAGCCCTATTTAAATTAGGTCTTATTCCAACTAGTAAGATATATCTGTTGCAGTAGTTCATAACATTTTTCATCAAAATACCCACAGTGAGAGAGAAAGTAAATAATAGAGATTGAGTGGATGAGCAAAGATGACCATCAGAAAGCTAGAATTTTCTCCAGAGTGTCATGTTTTAACTACAAGTTTTACATAAATTTTGCATTATTTGCTTTATGTCCATGTTTTTCTCTTTCAAGATCTTTATAAAATTGATACTCCTTGGAGAAGAGCTGTATTTATGCTGTGGTTTCTTGTACTCCCTGGCACACTGACACGTATGCCAACTACGTAGAGCACACAAGCACAGGACTCAGAGAACTCTTACATGACTTTTCTTGTTATTGGGTGGGGCTTTGACTCTTCCAACATAGGTAGCTAGACGTACATTCCTTTCAAAGTGAGACTAATAATACATGATGTATAACAACTTATATTCACTGACGTCATAATCAGGATTTTGAAGCTGTGAGAGCCTTGAGACAGAATCTAGTCTTTTACAAATGAGAGAGCTAAAACTCATGGGGTGAAGTCACTGTCAGGTTTACACATACTGGAAGAGGTGGAACCTGATTGCACCGAGGTTTTTGATATGTCTGGTACCCTTTGACTATAGCATTTACAACAATGTGAGATTCACTCAGTGCATTCTACTCACAAAAAATGTCTAGAACAGTGAAAAGTTCAATAAAGTATCTGTATTCATCTGCCCCAGTGCCAATAACAACATCTCATTTAGTTTTTCACAGGTTGGGAGGCTGGACGTTGAAGATCAAGGTGCTTACAGGATTGATTTTTTTTTTTTAGAGATAGAGTCTCACTTTATTGCCCTTGGTAGAGTGCTGTGGTGTCACAGCTCACAGCAACCTCCAACTCCTGGGCTTAGGTGATGCTCTTGCCTCAGCCTCCCAAGTAGCTGGGACTACAGGTGCCCACTACAACGCCCAGCTAATAGCATTGATTTCTAGTGAGGCTTTTCTCCCCAGTCTCTTCTCTGGGCACACAGGGAAGGAGAGTAAAAAAAATGATTAAGAGGCGGCGCCTGTGGCTTAAAGGAGCAGGGCACTTGCTCTATATGCCGGAGGTGGCAGGTTCAAACCCAGCCCTGGGCCAAAAAAAGAAAAACAACCAAAAAACCCCCAAAAATGACTAACAGAGACTACATAAATGCTCTTTAGTTTCCCTTTCCCTTCTATAAGGACAACAGGCCTGTACGATTAGGGCCTCACTCTTATAACATCGTATAACATCATTTAATTTTAACCCTGTCTCCATCCATAGTCGCATTGGGGGGTAAAGGCTTAACAGCTGGATTTTGAAGGGACACATTTAGTTCTTAACAGAATCTATTTATCGGCCCATTCATTTGATTGGGGTTTTGATTCATTTGTGGAAAAAGAAAAATTGGAGAAAAGGACAAAGTAGAAAAGGACGAGGAAGTTTTGAAAGCCTAATTATCATTCACTGATACTCCTGGAGACACTTTTTCTGAATTAGAGAATTACCTTTCAATCTTGGAAAACAATTAGAGACCAGGATTGGCATGTTGTGCAGGTGAAATCTGGAAGGAAAAATGAAATAAAAATCTGAGGTAATGTTTTAAGACCCAGGATGGTGAGTGCAGGTTGAGTGTCTCTTTGGAGATGGAGAAAGGACAGTCATCTTGGGCTGAGAAAAGGGATCGCTTAGGGGTAGATATGTACAGATACACTTCCAGAGGATAGTTTTTCTTGATACCTTTTAGTGTTTCCTCATCTATAAAATGGGGATTATAGCACTACCTCATAGAGTTAGTAATAATCATTATTATTATTGAGATAAGGCCTTACTCTTTTGCCTAGGCTGGAGTGTAGTGGCATCATCATAGCTCACTGCAACCTCAAAATTCTGGCTCTAGTGATCCTTCTGTGTCAGCCCTCCAAAGTGATGAGACTACAGGCATGTGCCATCATCCTGGGCTAGTTTTTTCACTGGATGAAGAGGGTGTGGCCACCTGTCACTGTCAGCCAATATGCAGAGATAGGGATAGGTCCACCAAACTTTGTCAGAAGCCAGGGATTCTGGAGAACAGTGAGAGTAGCCTCTCTGCAAGACTGTTCTGTTCTTCCATTTCTAACTTTACAGTTGTATACATTTGAGTTCAAAGTGAACACCATGGTAACCCTTATCTTAATAATTGGCCAAACCCATGATCCATAGTAAACAATAATCAGTATAACTCATGATCCAAAATAATATTCTAATTCTAAAGTTAGTCTCCTAAATCAATGCACCTAAACTACTCAAGATAGGCATCTTTAGGGTGAGAGCTAAATTTACAAAACAGTAAGAGTGGGAGAAGGGGGTGAAAGTCAGGCAGGACCTAACTGACCACACCAGTTGTGTCATGTCTGCTCTGGTCTGACAGACTCCATCTTATTTTTACTACATGTGCCATCACTTTTTCTTATTTTTTGTAGAGATGGGAGTCTCTATATATCATTCGTAGATTTCTGGGCTCAAGTGATTTTCTCACTTTTGCCTCCCAGACTGCCAGGATTATAGGCATGAGCCAACTAGGCTCACCTAATAGTTAATTCTTTTGAATTAAACCTACATGGAAGAGAAACATTTTTCTATCTGCCCCCATAACTTGCAAATCTGACATTGCTTAATACACACCAGTCATGTGGTGGTCTAGGTAAATGATGCGCCTAGGGTCATGCAGTGGACGGTATATGTCCATGCTGAAAGCCCATGGACCACCCCCCTACTCCAGCTTGTCAAATTATGTCCACTTAGGCCTGCCAAGAGTTAAAACTGAGCATTGCCTGGGCATAGCCTCTTACTGGCTGCTCCCTTAGTCATACAAGTCCCAGCTGAAGGCTTTAAAGTGCCCCCACTAAGGGTTTTCTTGTTCTTAGGTGAAGAACTAGTCTGTCATTCAGCCTTGGGTTAGAGTGGGATGGTCATCCTGGTTTGGAATCTGATAAGCAAGAACTCATGAATGAACTGAAAAGAAGGAAGTGGTGACCGTGTCTGGCACGCACACGGTTTCACCTGAAATTACTGTTCTTATCAGAGCTGATATTTTCATCAAAAGTTGTTCTTTGTTTCTTCTCAGAATCACTCAGAATTTGTGAACTTTATAGGGTTTTTCTCATGGACTTTATAAATTTCTGTTATGCAGCATATATAATAGCAGGGACTGCTATAGACTTGTCTAGACTTTCAGCTAATGCCTTTGCAAAGGGGCTCACAAGTCTGCTCAAAATCTGCTTGGTTGCATTTGTGAGCCTTCTCCTTCACTTCAGAGGAACGAGGTCCATGAATATCTTGGCTTTAGAAGGGAAAGAAAACTTCAAGGCTGATGCTCAGAAAACTCTCCTTCCTCAGAAGAAGTCCTTTATCTCTGTAGCTGTTTGCTATGTCTCCTTAACAATTAATGCTCTGCTGTTGAGGCTGTAGCCAAAATTTCTGGTCTCATTATAAAACAGTCATTGATATGAGAAGAATAGGGGGTGGGGAGACTCTCCTGGTGTTTACCTCTCACTTACCTTTTCTCTATAGGTTGCATGGGCTTCATCAGTGCTAAGAAACTGAATAATGATTATATTTTTACAGCTGTACTTTGTCAGGGGTCATGGCGTCGTCATGTCATTCATCATTTAGTTAATTTGATATTTTTGCTCTTAGCTAAACTTGCATAGCCAAATATGCACACAAATGGAATAACTACTATCTTTACAAGTCACCCAGAAACCCAATGTTTTCTCTCACATAATCATAATTGTATGTGAGTGTTGAAAATGAGATTCTTGCCAGCTTATCAGTCTAAAACCTCAGGGATTGGTAAAAGTGCTCCAAAGCACAGATTTGTGAGAATAAACCTCATGGAATTGTGTCATCCTCATTATAAAAATGGATTATCTTAGCAGTTTGATCCAGGAATCAGGAATCTTACTAGTACTGTCTCTGAGCCCTAGGCTTGCCTTTATTATAGATAGTATCTATTTTTGACAGGACAGAGCTGCTATGAT